AATCTTTTCATTTCATTTAATGCGTCATTGTTGCGTTGTCTTTTTCCTGTAAATTTAGTACTTTCCGTGGGATTACTGCGAAAAGTGACTAAGTCAAATTTTATATAATTTGAGTTAATATAACCATTCACTTGTTAAAGTCAGATCTACGAAAAAAAATTACCAAGTTAGATTGATTGAGTTTATTTAATACGTTTAGGTTGTATAAATATGACTTGGTCATTTGTTTTTGGTAGATCTGACTTTAACAAGTGACCTAAATCACATAAAATTTGACTTGATCACTGTTACGAATAATGTTTAACATATTTAAAATTCTTATTTTAACATCCTGTATTTTTCTAGGTCTTAATAAAAAAAAATAATAAAATTAATATAAGAAAGGAATATTCAGCTCAGCAAGGAACAGTAAGTAATAGAAAATTTGTTAGTTCTATATTTTCATTTATGTTATTTTAGGAATTTGAGTACTTTGAGTTAATTGTGCATTTACAAATTAATAAACCATTTACTGCAAATCCGTCTATTACTGGTAGATATTCTCAACAATCACTTTTGGCAGTAAGCCCACGCAGTCTAGTGCTTCAAAAAAGATACCTTTTAGCGATTTGACTCGTATGCTTGGCCAGCAGCAAATACCTTTGAGTCTAAATAGACAACGGGCCTCTCCGCCATATTGAATTTAGAGTAACGTTTTTTATTTTCGTCTTCTCAGCAAATTCTTTTATTTGATATTCATATAATGATACTGATGGTAGATTAGAAAATTTTGTCTGCCATCTTGGGGGGGTCCGTCATAATGAATTTAGTGTGACGTCTTTTTCTTTCGTATTCTTTTAACCCTTTTAATTGATATCCATATCATGATGCTGCATAAAAAATAAATACCCCGCCATCTTTGGAAGTCCGCCATATTGGCTTTAGAATGAAGTCACTGTAGATTTTCATCCAAAATTAACGTGAATTCAAAATTTCAGCTGAATTGGTGTGGGATAACTATTTTAAAATTCAGTTACAAGATTTAAACTTAACAAACATACAAATATTACAAGTTAAATAAAAGCATTATAAGTTACGTTTTGGCTGTTAAATATTATTTTATTTACTTGATTTTCTATTTTGAGGACACTGTGAGCTAAAGGAATATGTCGTGGCAAACACAAACAACGTCAGTTATAACCTTACATATGAATTTATTTGTTTCTATTTTTATTGACTTTAAAACTTTTGTTATTATTTGGTCAAGAAAAGGGCTTATTAATGAGGAACTAATGAAACTTCTTGAGAGGATGGACCTTCAACACCAAAGCATCCAAACAACAAACAAATAGAAAATCGTCCTATAAAAGAAGTCAGACTAGATGGAACCAGGTGCAAATATCTAACTTGCAAAGGCAACTCAAGAATAATGTGCCAAAAATGTCAAGTCATAAAAACTCAAACTGTTTTTAAAATTATCATACAAAGGTTCGAATATTTTATATTGTTTCCAATAAACTGTAATCAAAATATATCATCTTTATAAGTAGTTGGTACTTGAGAGCACATTGTACCCACAATTCGCATCCTCACATTATCCTCAATTAAGGACTTATATTTACCACGAATGCACAAGGTCCTCAATCGAGGAGATGTCCCCTTACCAGGAGGATAAAATGTAAAAAAAATCAAGGAATCGAAGTAAAAATTATCAGATTTTTATCTCAACTGGATTTAATTTGTGAGCAAAGGGTTATATTAATTAGTATTTGTTGGCCATTGTTGTAAGTTTTTTTAGTTTAGTTTAATACGTGATCTTTTGGTCTAGTTATTTATTTGATTAACTGTTGTTTATAGTATATTTGCAGCCTCTTCATAATCTTTGCATACCGATAGAATGGCAGTATCATCTACAAATGTAACTATTGTGGCTTGTTCTAGTTGTGGTATGTTACAGATGTATATCAGGTATGATACCCATTTCACTTCCCTGTAATTTCTTTGTATGCTTCATCGTGTTTTACTCTGAAAACTCTATCTAAAATGTTGCATTTGAATGTTTTCAAAATTATTTAATAATCTTTTACAATACTAATTAGAAATGACTATGCTTCCCCGCAATTTCTCTATTTTGCAGTTTTCTTTTTTGTTCATGCTCTTCTTAACGTCTTTCTCATTTCGTCTGCTATGTTTTCTACCTCACCGGCTTCTCCGTTTTTCTTTTAAATATTTTCCCTATCTTATATGTGCTTCTCTTAGCCTTCGCAAGCCCGTTCCTTTAACTCTAGCGATATATTTCTTACAATTCTTTATGTATTTTTACTAATAAATTATTTCCATTTTTCATTCATTATCGCTTTATTATTTTACATATATTATCAATCATTTATTTTATCAACACTTATGCTTCGCATATATTATTTCTGATTTGACTAGTTTTATATGTATCAGTGCTAATCATCGATTTTATTTTATGATACTACCGACAGTAAGCATATTTCGACGTTTATTGTATTCCAGTTTTGTTTTTCCACTAAACTCTATTATTTCATTATTGTTCGTGCTTTTAAGCCTTCATGCCTCCTTACTACTCCTTTTGATATTGTGATCTTGAAACTCAGCCATTTAGCACTTCAGCAACTTTCTCTATTTTCATCTAATTCATATATTATTACCATCATTCTATTTGGATCCACCATAAACCATGTTGGTATTACTATCCTTTGGTTGAGGACAATCTGTTTTATAATATGATTTTATATTGCTTGATTATTACCAAACCAATTTCTGTTTTAGCCATTCCTCCAAACATAAGCAAATTCCCTCTTTACTTTGTTTTAAATGTCTCAAGTTTTGTCTTTATATATTTTTCATTTAATTCACTTGAACCTATTGCTGCAGATATCTATATGCATACTTTGTTGTCTTTTCCAATATGGAATATTATCTTTTTGTAATTCCTTCTTTTACTTTCTTGATATTCATTATCGGACTCTAATACGTAATATGTTCATACATGTGTTCATTTAAGATACCTACCTCTGGTAAAAGGTTCAATGAATAACTTATATTTTTATTATTTTATTTTACAAAAAATTGTGATTTGAGTATGTCCACTCGAATCAATGCAAATAGCATTTAATTAATACAATCCACCAAAATTGTTAGGATCATTTGCGAGGAATTAAAGATATTAAAGATTTATAATGGCCTTTTTAAAAAATATGTGGTCCCAACTCCCAAGTTATAATGACATCATTAAAAAATTAGTGGTCTCAACTCCCAAGTTGTAAGAATAAAATAGCAAGCTTTAATTGTTAATAACATTTATTAAATTTACTCATGCATCATCCATCCACTTGAGTAATTTCAACACAAAATAAATTAACTAATCAAGTAGCAAATTTCTTATTTGCGTTTGTATAATGACATTTTTAATTAAATTTGTAACCAGAAAGTCCTGCAAAGTCTGGATAGTGGAAAGCAAACTTCTTGCTCGTCCTGAGGGTGGCTGAAAACTTTTCCAGTCTTCCCGGGTTCCAAGTTACGGGTTAGATGGGAATTATGTCAAACGACGATTGTACCGAAGAGGGTGGGAAACCTCGAAATTGTTTAAGTGACTGTTAAGCTGCCGGCATTTTAATTTTATTAGGGCTTTAGGCTTACGACTTTTGTAGATTTAAGTTAACGTTTAATAGTTAAATATTATAAATCGTTAATTTAAGTTAATAAAGTTGGTATAGTCATTATTTTTAAAGATTTGATAATGAAAAACGTTATTTTTTACGATCATTACTTCAAATAGGTAAGTGGCTTCTTATGCATGTGCTTGATGAAACAACAATCGCAGTTAGTTTTTTGATATAACTGTCATTCTTTTGTCGCAAGATGCCTACTAAGAATTTTAACTATAATCCTTATTTCTCGCTCTATCTAAATTATTGCTTATTATTGCACCATTTCTTTTTAGAGCTTGTTAGTGACTTAATTATTTTCTGTTGGTTACAAATTTATTTACTGTAGTAGTGCCTAATAGTAGCAATAACAGTAACTGATACGAACCATATTACTTTTACTGACGAGGACCGTAACAGTAGATTCATTAAAATTGAACTTATAAGTATTTATTAAAATTTATTTCTATTATTTTCAAAATTGTATTCATTTAAACATTAAAAATAACTTACTTACAATACTTTTACGACTACTTTTTTGCGACCTGCAAACAATATTTATTTAACTTAACTGTCTGTGTAAAATAAATTACGTCACGCTAATATAGCGTATTGGTGATGTGTCAATTTAGTCAAGTGGAATACAGAAATCATTGAAGACGATATAACTGTGATAGCTTCGATTTAGTTTATTTTGTTCCATTAAGATGGCAATAATTAATAATTAAGAAATGTATATATCACATACAAGCTGTATTTGATACAACTTCAGTGATTTCATTGGTTATTTATAAATTATTTGTATTTACTATATCTATTTATATTACATGTATATTATTTTCGTAAATAAACATTATTAAGATCAAACATGAATTTAAAAAGTCAAAAAACCAATTTTGAACTCCTAAAAATTATATTACGAAAACTTTTTAAAGGAATTTTACGAGAAATATTTAATAAATTAAAAAATACAGTACATAATTAAAGATCTAATACACTTACACATTCAATTATTTACACACTTTGCGCAATACAATTCTTGTTGCGCAATATGGTTATTCAACTTTTTCATTCAATAATAAATTCCTTAAAATATTCATTATTATATTCATTAATATATTCATTAATATATTCATTAATATATTCATTAATGTATTCATTAATATATTCATTAATATGTTCACTAATATAATCATTTATGTATTCACTAATATATTTATTAAAGTGTTCATTAATATATTCATTAACATAATCATTAATATATTTATATGCATCAATAGATTAATTGATATATTCAATAAATTGAGTATTTTGTTTGATCCCATATCCCATTGTGAAAAATTTTACCTTGTGCTGCGCTCCCTGTGCCACAATTCTAGATGCAACCTTTTTTGATAATCATCTTCAGCTAAAGGAAATTTTAAGGTGTGATTGAAATAGGGTTTAGTAGAGTCCCGTTGTACTGGTGTTCTCTGTAGAAGACCGTTTCTTTTTCGGCGGTTGTCTTCCGAACGATCAAATAAAGCAACCTGAAATAATAAAAACAATAAATTATTTAAGAATATTAGGTACTTAATAATACAAAAATACAGGTACAGTTCAAAAACAGTGACCTTGAGGTACACCAACTTATATTCGGCAGTAGTTCATTCTTTGATATTAAGATTAGGTAAAAACAAAGATTAAACGGAAAATAATAAGCAATAAAGAAAACAATAATGAAGATATGTAATAAGGAAGAGAAATAATATGTAAAATACATAATGAGGATATTAAAGGTGAGAAAGAAGGTAATAATCAAGAAGTTAAAAAGAAAAGTAGATATGAAAGATAAAAATACTCGTAAATTAATAATAACCACTAAAAATTTTTTGTTTTTTGAAATTGTACCTAAATTATCCTCTCGAAGGATTTTTATTTTGTAATTCACAACTCATAAAATCCACATTATTTTTATGGTAAATTTTATGAACTTTTAAATGTCATTAAATTATTTTATGCTTTTTATTATACAACTGTGAATGATATTAGAGGCATTACTAGAGACAATTCTTGAACTTTGTCCCGAAGGAACAAAAATTCTTTAGTAATGTATCTTAAACGTTATATTTTATAGTAAAATATTTAGTAATTATGACAAGAAATGCTTCTGTGGTATGTGTTTGCACGTAGAATGAATTAAAAACGAGTTGTTTCATTATAGCTAAGACTTTCATTTGCTTGATAATTTTTTGTACAGTTTGGACAGGCCAAAGTCCCCATTCAAAATAAAATCACCAAGGTGAAGAATAGAAAGGAGGAATAAAAAAATTCATGGAACAGAACAAGACCCATCCCGGGTTACTAAGTCAGTGATGATTATTTTCTTCAACTTATTCATTTTCCTTCCTTATTTTCAAGCCTTATTTTACCATGTATAAAGTCTTTACCAATATCAGTATCTCCGTGGTCTGAATAAAACAAGAGATTTATTGGAAATTGCCTTATTTAACGGCTTTTATAGCAACATTATTGTACGTTCTGTCAAATACGTCAGTGGCGTTGTTTTGGGGTTGCTGCTGAAGAAGTGGTGACATCAATTCAGTCAGACTGTACCAGTCAAATCAATCCCTTGAATTGTATTTAATAGCAGATGATCTGCTTTTAATGATTTTTATAGTTTTTTAACCGACTTCAAAAAAGGAGGAGGTTCTCAATTCGTGGCAATATTTTTTTTATGTATGTTCAGCGATAATTCTTTAACACGGTGTCCGATTTCAATGATTCTTTTTTTGTTAGAAAAGGGGTACTTTAGGGGTGGTCCCATATAATTTTGGTCAAAATCTAATCATTGGGTCCATAAGAAAATTCTCAAACTCTTCATTTTTTATGTATGTTTAGCGATAATGCTTTACCATCTTGTCCGATTTATATTATTCTTTTTTGTTAGTAAGGGGGTATCTCAGGGGTGTCCCATATAAAGTTAGTTAAGATGTGGTGATGGCATCTGCACGTTTTTGAAGTCGGTTTTTTTAAATGTTTAATTTCTAACTCTTGTTTGTTTTTACTTCCAATATTATATATCTATATATTTTTTTATACATGCTTATCGGATCATATATTTTTCATCATATTGAGCGGTACCAATCCTTTTTTATCATAACATGGAATATAATTAAAATAACACTCAAATATCAACGATGAAAAATTACGAAACAGATTCCCATTCTTTTGAATTAACGTTCATTACTGTACATCTTGGTGTCATCCGTGTCATGTTTAAAAATATTTGAAAATCCATCACTGTTTAGCACAAATTATGTACCCACACAATGTATAAAACAGTTTCCCTAACCGCAATTCCGGTTTTTATGGAGCTTTTTCATTGGCAAGTTAACAATACGCAGCTAAAACGTGACGGCCTCAAATTTTTTCGTGTTTACCATAGCAGCAAACCACTTTGCAGTGTTTTCCTGTCCTTTTACCTAAATTAAGGTTTTACATGCAAGGGTTGATTTAATGATACTTAGTTAGGTAAGAATGGGAATATTATAGGTCAGGCGCTACTGATATAAACTCAACTACGCATCAATTTTGGTCTGCTTTTCTCTATTTAGCACCTGCTAGTACGTGCTATTACTAATCTCAATTAACAATTAAATTTTGTTTGTTAAAACAAATGACAATTCATTAATTTTCACTTATTTTTTCTGATTATTACATACACGTCACTCAATAACTGTGCTGTTTAGACACAACATATTTCACAAGATAGTCCTTTTCAGTAGTCAAACATGAGTGATTGTGCAGCTGCTAAAGAGTTCACACGTTAATATACAGGGTGTCTGTAAAAGGTCTTTACAAAAACATATCACATATTCCTTAGACCAAAATAAGTCGATTTAAGTAAAATTACCTTAGTACAAAGTTGCTTCGTTTGGGCTCCAGAGGGCCTTGAAGTTACAATTTTTAAATCGTTTTTCCCATATAAATTTAAAACGGCATATGCGATTTTGCTGAAATTTGGTATTTTGGTAGAGTTTTATGTGGCAAAAAAAATGGTATTAAAATTTTGTCCGATAATAATACATAGGCGTAGAACTTGATTTTTTAAATAATTGTACCGTTAAAAATTCTACGCCAATGGATGAAAAGGAGTTTGAGTATGAAATTTAGATTGCGCAACTTATTTACTTTAAAAAAGGTACTCTTGATAAGACTCGATTACTCTCATGGTTTTGACGAAATTTGCATTTTAGTAATTTTAGAACATAAACAATAATTATTAAAATAAAAACTTTGTCAAAACCATGATAGTAAATCGAGTGTTATCAGGGGTATTTTTTTCTAGTAAATGAGTACCCAATCCAAATTTCATACTCAAACCCCTTTTTTGCCATTGGCGTAGAATTTTTAAAGGTGCAATTATTTAAAAAATCAAGTTCTACGCCTATGTATTATTATTGGACAAAATTTTATACGATGAAAAACATAAAATATACTTTTTTCATATCTTCTTCAACACCTCTAATCGAGACTTTTAACAAAAATACTCGATTCTTGCCATGTACGATTTTTTGAGGAATATTAATTATTTGCCTGCAATACGTATACAAAAACATTTATTGTTGGTTTCCATAGTTTCATCTAAATAAAAATATTGTCAAGTTTTAACACCTAATCTCTTGTTAACGATTGAAAGTGTTCTATCTGACTCAATAATTAAAAAAACAAATGCGTGGTTTTTTAATATGGCTGTACAATATACCAATGCAGAATATGTTACCTGACATTAGGATTTTGTGAAGGAAATGCTCGAGAGAGTATCAAGGTGTACTCTGAAAGGTTTCCAAATCGTCGTGTACCTAGCCAACGTAACTTTTGCTGCTGTTGAGAGACGTCTTCGGGAGACCGGTTCCTTTGCTCCCAACACTGTTGATAATGGAAGAGAACGTTTTGTAAGGATTCCTGAAGTTGAAGAAGACATTTTAGAACGTGTTGAAGAAGATCCAGAATTAAGCAGCAGATGAATTGAAAGTGAACTAGGAGTAAGTAAAGATGTCGTTCATAAAGTGCTTAGAGAACAATTGCTATATCCATACGATAAGAAGCCAGTACAAGAATTATTAGTCCATGATCCTCAGATTCGTTTGGGTTTTTGTCGATTTGTTAATATGCAAAAAAAAGAGATCCAAACTTTGTCAAGAAGGTTCTCTTTACCGATGAAGCAGGTTTTACAAGAAGAGGTATAACTAATACCCATAATGAACATATTTATGCCGTTGAAAACCCGCATGCAATAAAGGTAAACCATTTTTAGCACGAATTCAAAATTAATGTGTGGGCTGGAATAATTGGTAATTTCATTGTTGGTCCTGTCATACTTCCACGAAGATTAACTGGAGAAAATTATTTGGATTTTCTACAAAATACGTTGCCAGAATTGTTAGATTTACCTCTCCAACTTCGGAGAGATGTGTGATGTGGTTTATGCAAGATGGAGCTCCACCACATTTTTATTTAAACGTTAGAAACCACTTGAATGAACAATATCCACACAAATGGATAGGCAGAGGTAATGACGCACCTGTAAACTGGCCACCACGTTCCCCAGACCTAACACCGATGGATTACTTTTTATGGGGACATCTGAAATCCAAAGTTTACAGGGAACCTGTAGAAAATGAGGAACAACTCTGGCAACGTATTCAAGATGCAATAAACAATCTTAGAGGTGATGAAGAAGTTATGGAAAGGATACATTTTAATTTTCTTCGACGTATAAATCTTTGTATGCGTGAAAATGGTGAACATTTTGAACAATTTTTGTAAAATCTCTATTTTGATTATGTTGTAAATAAATATTTTTGTGAAACCTCTACACTCTAAATTATTAAAACAGAAATTTAGCGAAAACCATGAGAGTAATCGAGTCTTATCAAGAGTACCTTTTTTAAAGTAAATGAGTTGCGCAATCTATATTTCATACTCAAACTCCTTTTATTCCATTGGCGTAGAATTTTTAAAGGAGCAATTATTTAAAAAATTAAGTTCTACGCCTATGTATTATTATCGGACAAAATTTTAATACCATTTTTTTGCCACATAAAACTCTACCAATATACCAAATTTCAGCAAAATCGCATATGCCGTTTTAAATTTATATGGGAAAAACGATTCAAAAATTGTAACTTCAAGGCCCTCTGGAGCCCAAACGAAGCAACTTTGTACTAAGGTAATTTTACTTAAATCGACTTATTTTGGTCTAAGGAATATGTGGTATGTTTTTGTAAAGACCTTTTACAGACACCCTGTATAGATTTTTGCGCGTTGATATATAGATTCTCTTTTATTGGAGATGGAATTCCGTCACCGAAAAGTTAAAAAGAGAGATAAAACGAATTAAAAATGAATATATTAGTGGGCACCTTAGTGAGTTGACAAATAATAACTCTACTGATCATTTCCTATGGATACTAAGCGATTGAAAAGGCTCACAATAGAGAATGCTCCAATAAGGAATGGCAGATGGAGACTGGGCTAGAAATAA